GCTTAAGAAATATCAGCCAATGTTCTGGGAAATGCTTGCATCACACAACCGTCTGGGTTACTATCGATGCGATTTCAATGGACGCGTATAAAGCAATTAGACTTACTTCATCCATAACCTCAGGTCCTAAGTTGCAAATCCCCAATCTCTGAAAATTACGCACAAAATCATCGAATGATATCCTGAAATGAAAAGGAACAAATTTAATTAAATGCCAGGCAAATATTATATCAAATCACAGGCACAAAATAGACTTATTGCATTTTAAAGTTTCCAAATTTGAACTTCAAGTGATCAAAAACTTCATGAAATGACGCTTATTGAATGATAGACTGTGAAGCAAGCAAGCAACTGCTCACGGCAAATCATTTCGTCCACTCTACAGATCTAATCATAAAAAATTCCAATTTAATGAAGTAATTGGGCCACAGAAACGGACCAAAATTCTCCATCATGTTCGATTTTTAAATCCATCTCTTTTTTTTCCTGTTCCGATATTCTCCGCCATTCAAGCGAACGATCTGACCACGGCCCATTCCATTCCTGTTCATTACCCCATGGATTACGAATACGCAATATTGTTGTGCGACCACGGCGTCCATTCACCTGAAATTGATGGATGTTGAGAAGGGAATCAGCTACAGATGGGAGCCGTTGGAGATGCGAAATGATGATTGATTGCTGTCATCAAATACCCAGTCGAATTATATATGAGTCTTCACAAGATGAACAAACAAAAAGTAACAACAACGAATTAAGAGTAAAGTAAGACTAACGGTACGCATTCCAGTGATACTATACGCATGACCCTTAACCAATCCGTTTAGCATTCGTTTTTCGTGTTCATGTGGATCAGCCTTCAAATAAGACAGTTAAATTGCATGATTTCGTGGGAAATCAAATACTGATACGCGACAGAATCATTGAATGTGATGGGTATCCCAAGGCGGAATCATAGTGAAGACTGAAAAGAGGTCAATGCACCTCAATGCTACATCCGAACAGCGATCCCTTTTCAAAACCACGCTCCATTATTTCCTTAAGATTTTCGGGCGGATTTTCTAGATCATAGAATTCCGTTAATCCACCAGTCATATCCTCTAACGCCTCTGCTGTGGCACCGCCTTTCAACGCCTCATACGATCCAAACAACCTGAATTCAAACTTTCAAAACAAAGTCAATCATAGAAGTGAATAATCAAAGGACTGATGCAATGAGCATCCAACTGATGTTGTTCATCCAAGAAACGGATATTCATATGGATAAAGTAAAACAAATGATTACTTTGCATAAGCTTTTTCTAATAGGGCACTCCAAAATTCATTATTCTCTCTGGAATGCATATATACTAATTCGCCGTTTGATGTTGGTAAACGATCGTCCACCACTACGTCAACCCATTGACCGTAATGCCAGAATTGGAAATGGAATATTCCTGCAAGCCGGAAAAAACAACTTATTTTTTGCATCATTTCTTGCAACATGAAATCGAAATTTGAGATGAATTAAAGAGACTTGAGCGAACACAGAAACGTGAATACCCGCATAATTCTCAGTGAAACTTTGATCTGGTGGAACAACACGATAGAAGAGTTCATCGCGAAGTGTCAAATTGGCGACAGCTGCGAGTAACCAACAATCGCTTAGCAATCCTTGAACCACATCGAAACGTGAGTGACCCTCGTAGATCAATCGTGGATTGTCAACGATTTCCTCAAAAAGATCGACAATTATTACGGCGATGAACGGAACATTCTCAATTTTTTACTTCCATTATGAATGCGTTATACAGGTGGAATGTGAAAGTAGCGTGCGATTATTTAGGAAGCCATATGTTTTGAAAGTGTAGATTTTTATTTAAATAATTCCCAAAACGAACTCCAGGTCTCTTCCATTCAATACGTTTTGACGATGCTGTATGGAAGAATAAACTCTTGTCACATGTCGGAAATTCAGGGTCTTCAAATAAACGACGATCCTGAAATTATTTTGTAGCCGAACGACACTGCTCATTTCAAGGTAGAACATTCAACTCACAAAACTTGTGTGGAATTGCGATTTGGTGAGAATCATGAAATTTCCATTTGTTACTTTTTAGAACAGTAGAGATGGTGTTTGAGGTTGAAAATAATGACAAGAAGAGTGAAGACAATGTAAAATGATGATAAGAACTGGTTAATGATCACGACCGACGAGCAGTGATAACAATAAT